CCCCCACAAGTCACCAGAGAAACAGCCCCACCTATATCTGCCCACATTTCCACACTACAAGACCACCACAAATGATTCCTCACTTATTGAGAGGTCTATAACCTCAGGGTTAATATTACAGCGCAGTTTTCTAGAATCACTAATTTAGTACAGAATACTGAAATAATTCATATACAAGAATATTTAAACTTTTATTTATATACACTTTTAGACTTAAGTATGTAATTAAATTTTATTGTAATAAATATAAATAAAACCTACTCTGAACAGGGATGTCAGAGGGTCACAAGTCAATATTGGGTATCCTGAAGGTAAGGAAAATCCCATACATGGAGGAACAGACAGGAATAACCTCACCTTTTCTTTCATTTTCAGTGTTCATGTATTACAATGTGAATTTGCCTGGCTAAGTTATAGATGCATAGTGGGGCTCTATGCAAAAAATTTTTACTCAACAGGAGTTCATGATGAAAAAAAAAATGGAGATCCCTGGCATTTTCAATGAGTTACCAATCTTACAGCCAGAATTATGATCCAACTCATATTCCTAGATCCTATTCATACTGAGAATTCTACAAGGGACCACTGAAATGCATGTAATTCATGAGTGTTGTTCACATGTTTCTGGTTGCGGGACCCTCACTGCTATCTGGTTTCATCATTAAGCTGAAATCAACTACTTAAATTTCTTTCTGTCCAATGTTTAGTTTATGAAAATGATACAATTGAAATCTTTAGAAATAGACCTAAAAGTATATTATAAGCAAAACCAAATGTATTCTGTTTTCACTAAATCCAATGATCAGTAGAAATTTAAAATGAACTTTCACAGCATGTTTACCTTCATAATCATAAGATTAGATGTGCAGAGCCAAGGGATTGATTTTTGAGTCAAAAGGTCTAAAGCATTTACTAACAATACTCATTTTTAAATGTTTTTTTATTAATGCTGATATTATGATTTATTACCAGTACACAATGAGCAATGAAGTCAGTTAAAAAGTGCTTTTTTTCATTCTTTGATCTCTCTCTGCTTCTAAAGTACAATCAAAGATCTGCTAGTATGGTTCCCTAACCCTTAAAAATTTGGATTAGGAGAAGTAAACTTTAGTGTTTCTGCTGAAATAAACTGCTATAAATTTTTTCTATTAATCATTATGGGTTGAAAAATCCTTATATCATCTTTGTTCTTAAACATTTAAGCTGAATATGAAACTAACTCCCTCCAAAACCTAAATATATTTGTTTTGAAATCATTTTTGGACTGTTCAATTATTTTCATGTCCTTTGGAGTAAATCAATATCTTGACTGTCGATCAGCTGGTAATCTCGAAGTGAGCTTTATCATTTCATGAAAAGGGGATATTATTTGTTGCCACTGATTAAACTTGAGCTTTCAAGCAAAAATTAATTTTCTTCATGTTTTAGGACCGCATGAGGCAGGCTAAACTTGTCCCCCTCCCCCTTCCTATACCTTTCTAGTGGTTTTGTGGTCATTCTTACTTGGCCTTCTGAGTTCCCTAGTTCACTGTACCTTATGAGAGAATCTCCAAACCATTCACATATGAAAATATTCAAGTTTTCACAAAATCCAAACCTTAAGCCAGCAGGTAGACTGATCCAGACTTTAGTTGTTAAGTGGTTCGTTCTTCTGCCCTTTTAAGTACTCAGCTCTTGTTAAGTCATGACTCTAGGATGAGGCTTCTATTCTATTTCTGATCCCCAATGTTTACCTTATATTAAAATTGCAATTCTCAATCCAAGGACCCTGTTCCCAAGACTCCTTTCAGGAGTCCATAAAGTCACTTTTTCTTTTTTTCTTCTTTTTCAGGTAACAATATGAAATCTCTCCTGTCCTCAGTCAAATAGGAGCTTACTCTTATCACCTCCATTATATTACCAGACATGCATTCAAAGGTTAAAAATATTATCATAACAACACTAGATGTTATTTGCATCTTCCACTATCTTGATATTTGCACTAAGCAAAGGCATTGGTAGGTAGAACTACTATGCTTAGGTAAGAATCACCCATAGTACACCAAATTGTATTTACCACCACATAACTCACAGTTAAACAACACCCACTAAAACCTAGTTAATTCAATTAAGAATACCTTGAATGAAACAGTACAAATTATTTTTATTAAATCCTGACCCTTAAGTCTTAACATTTTATGTGATGAAGTGCAAAGTGCAAATACTTTTGCTGTGTACCAAAATACAACAGCTGTCTCCAGACAAGAGCATTTCAGCAAGTTGTAAGCTGAATTAGTCACTTTTTTGGGGTGGGGGATAACCATACAAAATCTCTCCCATTCGAGCAATCAAATTGTAGTTTACTCTGTTTTCATTATCTTCCCAGACATCCATTCAGCCTATTACAATCTGGCTTCTGATTTACCAAAATTGTTCTTGCTAAAGCCACCAAAAGCTTGACTACTCAAGCCAAGGGGCATATTTTAGTCCTTATTTACTTAACCTCTGCATCTTACCTAACATTACTGAGCACTCTTCTTGAAATCCTAACAGTAATGTCAAGATGTTATTTCTCTCCATCTTCATAACCATCTTCTTTCCTTTGCTGGCAATATCTGCTCAGTCTCTAGCCCATACTTGTATTTTAAACTCTAGGTCCATACATACAACTGCCTATAGGTTACCACAATCTATATGATCTAAAGAAATCAGAAATGCCATGTATCCTTATTGGCCTTCTACAAAATTTTGCTCCTCCTTCTTTCAATGACCTAGCTTGGATAGTGAGACCATTGCCAGTGCAAGCCAGAAATATGGCAGCTTTCTTAAAGCCCTATTTTTCACTCTCCAAATGTATTCTATTTTATAAACCTATCTATCTTCACTGCAACTAATTTTAGGCCCTCATAATTTCTCAAGCAACAGATCTCCCATCCTCCACTTCTGACCTTTCTAATCCATTCTCTACACTGCTGACAAAATGAAAATTTCTAAAAGGCATATCTAATTATATTATTCACTTGGAGTCTGGGCTTAAGTGGGAAATACCCAATAAACACTACAAAATTATACATTCTGAACACAGGCATTTTCCTAAGAAAAAGGTCTAGATGTTCAAGATCAACCCTAGAGGGGACACATCCTTGGAAACCTAACCTGTCAGAATAATTTCAAGCCCCACTATAGTGATCTTTCCCAGTACTTCCAGGTTTTAGTCAACTCTCAAAATTGCATTAAGTTCTCACACAGAGATATGCTGCTTCAATTTTTTATCCCTCTCAATACAAGCTTCCCTTTGTCTGGAAAGCCACCCCACATGGGTTCCCCAAGTGAACAAAATACTCCTCCTTCAAGTGTTCTTCCATCTAAGTAGACTTCCCTACCTTGATCCCTCCTTCCTACACTGCATATACCTTTATAATAGCACTTATATGGCATTTCATATTTGCTTTCATGTCCTTCATCCTTAAAAGATCATGAGGAAAAGATCTTTTTATTCACGTTTGTATGCTACTGTTCAGCACAGGGCTTGTATATGCTCAAAGATTTGTTGAGGATATGTATACACTACACATTAATAATGTATAGTTTCATCACAAAATTCTCAGCCGCATAATAAGATGGAGGCCAAACTGAAAGTAGGATTTCCTTAAGAAGCTTAAAAAGGATATTTTCAAAATCCATCAGTAAAGGAATGAACTTATCACTAGTTCTTTAAAATATTAAGAAAAAAAGCTATCTACAGCTTTTTAAGTAATTGACAAACTATAACAAATATAAACAACTGCGTCTTCATTTAAGTGGAAATCCAAATTATTAATTATAAGCTTAATTGGAATCTCCAGTAAGACTATAAGAGTAAAACTTTTTCTTAGCATTTACATTTGATTGGCCTAGTTAAATAATGTGATTTCCCGCCTGTAATTTTTAAAAGCTCAAACAATAACTTTCTTTATATTTAAATCTGGAACCTGGTTTGTGTCTTTAGACATCTGTGTAACATCAGCACTACTAGATCAAGCAAACGTTTCCGGGGAACGGTGCATGTAGAAAACTAGGTTGAGTACTCATCAGAGAATTTGAGGATTTGTTATTCTAAAAAACATCCTCACAGGAAAACTGGTAGTTCTTACTCTTCTTTACCACTTTGTCACCAAAATAAAGGGTAAAAAAGTTAAGGATGTAAATGTTGCTGTTTATGAACACACTGGACAGATAACAGCTGCCTATTTAAAAATGGCTCGTGAAAATTAGCACGGAAATATGTTCTGGACCACGAAGTCTGGAGAAAACCTGCAGTGCCTGGTAAATTCACTAACTTTTCCAAGTAGACTGATCACCGCCAGGGTCGAATTAATAAGTCTCCTTTGATGTTAATGATTGTTGAATGTTCCCAGGAAAGGGCTAAAAGCCGACTTTCCTAGCAGGATGTTGCTTGAAAATATCTAAAACAGACTCGACCACCATTCCTGGCACGTTATTAAATGAACCGAACTGACTCGACGCGTTTTGTGAAAAGACCTTTCCCCTGCTTCCCTGATCCACAGTTTAACTATTTTTAACCCGGAGCCAGCCTCAGAAACAAATTAGGAACTAATTGGCCACTCTCTCTCCCGGCAGGGCGCGGGGACGCGCACCCGGCCGCCGGGTTTCGGTTGGACCGCAGCAGGAAGTTTTCTCTTCCGTGGCGGGAGGCGGCGGAGTCAGAGAGAAGCTTTCTTCTCTTCCACCGGGGCACCCGGAGGTGAGCTCCGGCGCGGGAAGGCGGCTCCGCCTGCGAACCAAGCAGCTAAGGGACGACGCGACGCGGCCGCCCCGACTCGTGATTCGACGCCGGCAGCCGCGTCCCCGCCCCGCGCGGCCAGGGGCCGCGGTCTCCCGCCCTGCCCGCCGACCACTCCTGTCCCGGGTGACTGCAGCGCCGGCCTCGGGCCACCCGAGCCGGGCAGTTTCCTGCTCCCGAGCCCCCGCCAAACGGGAGCGGGATCTGGAGCGGTCCCGCTAACGCGGGCTGCACTCACCCACTGCAGGACCTTGATGAAGCCGATCGGCTCCTTGAGCGGGTTGAGGTTGATCTGGAAGGCGGACATCCTCTGAGGGAAGGAGGGAAGAAAGTCAGGACGGCTGGGCGAAGGAGGAGGGGATCGGCAAGACCCGAGCGGCCCGGCGGCGAGGAAGGGCAGGCGGGGCGGGCCGGCCGGGCTCGGAGGCGGGCCCTGGCGACCGCGGGGCGGGGCGGTGGCAGTTGAGCCGCAGAAGGAGCGCTGGGGCGGAGACGGAGAGGGCGGCCGAGAAGGCGAGGGCTGGGCAGGGGCTGGGAAGGGGATGCTCCTCCTCCGGGCGCACCTGGCCTAGCCGGCTGATCCGCTGTCGAACCCAGTAGATGTTGGACGCCATGCTGCGTGCGCTGCGCCCCCTTCCCTGAAGCCCAGCCCCTAGCACCCCCGTCTCTCACGCGCGCACCCGCGTCCCCCCCCACGCTCCGCTTCCGGCCCGCTCGCCCCCGCGCCGGCGCCTGCGCACCTGGGGCGCCTGCCCCAGAGCGGAGCCCCCGCTGCCTACGCCCCTAGGTTTTAGGTTCCCTTGCTTCTACCTCCCGGACTGCACCTCCATCCCCTGCCCCCGTTTCTCTTCACAAAGCCCAACTTTTAGATGAATTTATGAAGTATGGACACAGATAAAGCCACATTTCAAAGCTTGTGTTAACGGTCCCTTTAATTAAAATGGTGGACAGTTAGTTATTGCAGAACAACGGATTTCGGCGACCGGCTCCAGGTGGGGTACTTCGGAAGCGGCATTCACTTAACATTCCTACGGAAATTACTTCTATTTTTAAAGGTACTGGAGCCAGGGTGGAAGGAGGAAGGAGGACAGTTATACCTGTTAGCAGAAATTGCTGGACGGACTTTGGTGACCAACTTTCCCCTGTCCGGTGAGGCCCTTCCTTAGGGGCATTCTTGGCGACTTTCTTCAGGAAGCTAACTCCTTTTAGATAAGAGCCCCAAGCTAGTGTGACTCTTGTTTGGCTTCCTCAATACCTTGAAAGTTCTTGGAGTGCTGGAATAGTGGTCAGTTCACGGGACAGGACGGTCAACGCCGTGTAACACTTAGTCCAAATGAGGAAGCAAGGACTCTAGCACAAGAGGATCCAGGTCCCAGCTTCCAGGTACTTACCTAGGTTTACCAGGTGCCATTGAAGTTATTCCATTCCATCATGGTTACAGCTGTAGGGTGCTAAGTGTTCCTTCCACCGCTCTCTGGGGGGCGGTGCTGGGAATTGAAACCAGGGCCTGGCATATGCTAGGCAAGCACTGTATCCCTGAGTTATACCCCGGACCCTAACCCTTTCCCGATCTATTTACCTCCATGTTTGTTTCCCAGAGAATGCAAAAGTGTATTTGAGTTTCTTAATAGAGACTTTTTTTTTTTTCCTGGCCTGAATTCCTCTGTTCCCAGCATACTACTTTATGTTCCGTGGCACCTAAAGATGATTGTAGATTTCTCTTACTAAACAAGAAGGCATCCTAGATGCCCCTGGGGAAGTCAGTGGAAGGGTTCATGCATTGATATCCAGCATACCTGAGAAAGCCATGAGCGGACTCCAGGTATTTCAGCACTTGCTGGAGCCAAGCTCTTGCTCCCTCTTGCTCCTTCTCCCTTCCTTCTTAAACCCTAACCCTCTCCTCTATTTCTGTATATTCCACTCAATACTATTTTTTTTTATTCTCTTTAACTCATTTTCCAAACTTTTACTCCCATTCTGTTGCGGCCTATTGGATAGGCACCTAGAGGTGGAGTTGTTGATAGAAGGATTATTTAGCTTGAGCTTCTATTAAAAAGATTCAAATTAGAGTCTGAAAGTTATTTCAAAACTAACAGAAAGAGGTACAACGTTGGCAACTTTTCATTACTGAGTTCAAAGATCTGAAACAAACTGGGTGTGGTGGCTTGAGCCACTAGTCCCAGCTACTAGGGGGTCTGAGGAGAGCCACTTAAATCCAGGAGTTTAATACCATCAATTCAAAACCTGGACTGCATAGTGAGACTCTGTCTCTTAAGAAAAAAGTTATAAAATATGCCATAAGTTAGTAATTCGTTTTGGCTTTTGTTCATTTCTTCTGCTTCATGTTCAGGTTCACCAGTGGAAGGTCCTGATTGTTGCAACTCCTCAGGAAAACTTTAGTGTACTCATTGAACTTTAATAAGTCTCCTCCCTGGGCCTTGGGCCATTAGTTTTTGCAGATGAAGACCACTTAGGTTAAGCAGAACCACAGGAGGTCACTTGTCAGGACTCATTCACAAGATCCTACTGAGCAGCAAGCAAGTAAGCCAGTGCTGTGATCTTCAGTCGAATACAGTCCAGCACTGTGGCTGCCAGTCAGCTGGGTTCAGGGGAAGATCTACCTTTTTGAGAAGGAGCTGGCAATGGCTGGCAGATCCTGTGACACCTGATTAGGCAACAAGATAGTTAATGAATTTTTAAAATCTTGCCATAACAAGAGTGTTTAAACAATCATAAAAGGCACAACTATTCAAAATCTGGGAAGGATGTTCAGATGACTGTATTGCATTGATTACAACCTGGATGTTTTCTGATTTGTTACTCAAATCTGAGGAAAGAAATAGAAATTCTGGGCACAGCATGTTCCAGGTCTACTCTACCAGGGCTGTTATGGAAAATTAGGCGTTTTATTTATTTATTTTTGGTACAGTGAATGAACCACTGAGTTATATTTCCAGTCCTTTTTTATTTTTGAGACAGGGTCTTGCTAAATTGTTGGTCTTACTAAATTGCTGAGACTGGTCTTGAACTTGCAATCCTCCTATCTCCAAATTGCTGGGATTACAGGTGTACACCATCATGCCCAGTATGAAAAATTATACCTGAATGTAAAACCATCCTGTCTATATGAGGTAGTATTGTTGCATTCTACCTGTAGTATACCCACATATTTATGTGACTAAATTATCGACATAATTTTTCATTGTTTTACTCTCTCCTTGCTGTTAATAACATATTCCAGAATGACACTTGGAGGTTAGAAGACCAGAAACAAAGCTATACTTAAGCAAATCGTGCCATTGGCTAACTATATTCCATTTTTCTCAGTGGAAATGCAAAATTTCATTCAATTTATTGGCAAGATGAATGAGACTCATTCTCAACTAATATTTGTATTTTTTTCCGTAAAGATAGTGTTCAGTACCATCAGTTCAAAACCCTAAATTTTGCTTATACATATACATAGTGGGGTTTTTTTGTTTGGTTGGTTGGTTTTTGTACAAATTAATTCAAAAATTATTTTTTAAAAACTTAAAAACACCTCCATATTTACTTCATTGTAAAATGGATTGATTCAATAGCCCTGTAAATTAATCTCAAAATATTCAAAGGCCTTTAAAAAATAAACAATTTAAAAATTTCTTAAACTTTCAGAAAAGTTGTAATGTACAGTTCTGATTGTTCTTCACCCCAAATTTCCCCAATATTGACATCTTCTATAACCACCATACAAAAAAAATTAGTATGCTATTGACTAAGTACAATTTTTTTTTTCTTTTGTATGGTGCTTTGGATTGAACTCAGGGCTTTGCACATGCTAGGCAAGCTTTCTGTCATTAAGCTACATCCCCAACCCTAAACTACAGAATATTTCAAACTTCATCAGTTGTCCAATAATTTTTTTAAAATTTTATTTATTTTTTAAACTGCTGTAGGATCCAACCCAGGAAACTATGTTTAATGTCATGAGGTCCTTTTTGAAGGGTATCCAGGAGTGGAGACAAAATTATTTCCCTTTCTGTTGGAAAGAGAAAAAATGCACAAAAAGAATTCAGTAAATGGCAGATTGCATTGATCCCAGAAGCTGCCTGCTTTATGGCTGCTGCTGGGGTATCAGCAACTGCCCCTGAGTCCTGCTATCCAAACTTAGGGTTATCACCTATTATAGAGATTGAGGTGTATACCTAAAACCTGGCATCTACTCTCATGGTCCCACAGTAACATTAATTGTGAGCTTCTAGAGGGTCCCTTAAGCTTCTTCAGTCCCTTCGAGGTGTGATACAATTCAGTGGTTAACAGCCCAGCTGTGTTGTAAGACTCCTAGGCGTAAACCCTGCCTCTACCTGTGACTTTCAGCAAGGGATTTAACCATCTTGTTTTCATTTTTTCACCTCCCTTTTGCAGAGAGGTTTAAATTTTATAATCATCAGAAATCACTTAGAATTCTGAGTGCCTGTAAGAACTAAGTAAATGTTAACTGTCATTTTCACTGTTCCAGAAGGAGTGGGTGCATCAGTTTACCAATTTGTTGGTCAGGAAGCAACAAAGACTTAGTGCTAGAGCAAAAACCATATAAGGAAATCAAACTTTTATTTATTTATTGGCTAGAGAGAATTAGTGTTATAAGGAAGACTATTCCATTGATTAATGAGAAAAACATGTGAAACTTGAGAATAGAATTCTAGAAAACAAAATGAAATTTGCATGACAAAATTATGGGACAAAGATCATTCTAGTCCTCTAATGATCTGTGGATCCAATTTTAATCAATTTTTTCTGAAATGAGCACAATTTTCCGTACCACTTCAAGCTTAGCTCACATTTAAACAATAAACAGGAAAAGTGTTCTAATTTGTGGAAGTTAATTTTAGAATAATTGTCACAAGTACTATAGTTAGATTTCTAGAGAAAACAGGCTTGCTGTCACATACTAGTAATCCAAGCTACTCAGGAGGCTGAGGCCGGGGGATCACAAGTTCAAGAGCAGCCTATGCAATTTAACAAGACCCTATTTGAAAAGGAACATTAAAAAGAGGGCTGGGGGTGTAGTTCAGTGGTAGAGCACTTATCTGGCATGAGAGAGGCCCTGGGTATAATTTCTAGTATTGCAAGAAAACAAAAAAGGTGCCAGATGTAGTGGCACATGCCTGCAATCTCAGCGATTTGGAAAGCTGAAGCAGGAAGATCACCAGTTCAAGGACAGTCTCAGCAATTTAGCGAGGCTCTAAGCAACTTAGTGAGATCCTATCTCAAAGTTTAAAAATTTAAAAAGGGCTGGGGATATGGCTCAGTGGTTAAGCACCCCTGGGTTCAAGACTCAATACCAAAGAAAAGAAAAAAGGAATATTGTAAAATAACTATTTCATAATATCATAAATTGGCCTTTGCATAGTGTTTTGCATTTTTCAGAGAACTTTTATTCCTAGTCATTTTTTCCATATAATCTGTGAAATAAAGGAAAATGTAGGAATTATGATCCACATCTTGATCTTTAGGAAACTGAAACTCAGAGGGAAGAACGCATATCAGGAAAGGCTTCACAGAGGAAGCGACCCAACACTGAAGCTTGAGAGATGGTTCCCCCAGATAGGGTGCCATAGAGGTTAGGGCATAGAGATAGAGGAGAAGA